ATAGACCGGTAGACCGGTATAGACCGGTAGACCGGTATAGACCGGTATAGACCGGTAGACCGGTAGACCGGTCGATCCGAAACCCAGACCGGTACCGGACCGGCCGGTAACCGGTACCGGTTCCATCTCTGCATTCCAGTAATAAACAACAAAATCCATCAACAATAAATTATACATTATCCAAATTATTAACTCCTATATATATAAATGTTCAAGTAAATAATAAACAACACCAAGCCATTGTCGATACTGGATCTGCAGTCACCATTATTAATCAACAATTATTAAAAAAGATTTATCACAAGGAATTTATTTACAAAAAGAAATTACACAAATCAGCTAATTGCTCATCTATTAACATTATTGGTGAAATTCAACTTGAAATTAAAATACAAGGGTATAAAACTTTTATTTTAGCAGATGTTGCAACGAATCTTATTACTGATCTATTACTTGGAAACGATTGGATTACGACAAATAATGTTATTATTGATACACCACAACGATGCATTTTTCTTACTGATCAAAAACGCCATATTTTAACAGCAGCACAATTCGTCAAACCATCACATCTTCAATTACCTGTACTATTAGCTGATGAAATTACCCTTCCACCACACTCCGAAAAATGCATTGATATTAAAGTATTATCATCAATGACAAATATATCTGAAGCTTTATTCGAACCAGCAGCATATTTATATCCGAAACAAATCTTTCTTACGAATGCATTAATTAAATTAGAAGACAATAGAAGTCAAATTATGATTGTGAATGCAAATGATCGTCAAAAGACATTATCGAAGAATACTTCATTTGGATATATTTCATATCAATCAAAAGTCAATAATTATCTTATTTTACCTGTACTATCAGGAAAAAGGACTGATCGATCAACCATTACAAGAACAAATCTCTATACGAGGAACCACTCCTTTGCGGATCGTTCCTGGGTTCCATCAGCAAATCCAAAGAGGAAAGTCCGATCTTTGGACTTAACCTGTCGGATGGACAACAACGATGAACAACAGTCTCAATGTTATGTCTGTCAAGAAAAATTTTCATCACGCAATGATTTACAACAACACTTACGTCAGAAATGTTATCCATCAGAAATGCGAGAGCAGATTGGAAAATTAACTCAACACATCGAAAACACGAAACAACGACAACAATTACAACAAATTTTATGGAAACATGGGAAATTATTTGATCTCCGGCAACCGTCCATCATTAAAGCTACAGTCCATCATGCTATTGAAACTGGTACTCATCCACCAATTTATACTTCACCATATCGTGTTTCATACAAAGATGAACAAATCCAAAGGGAAGAAATTGACAGATTACTCAAGCAAGGAATAATTGAAGAATCTAAATCGCCATGGTCATCTCCAATAGTATTGGTAAGAAAAAAAGATGGTTCTGTTCGATTTTGTATTGATTTTAGGAAATTAAACAATATTACGACCAAAGATGCATTTCCTATACCTCGAATTGATGATATCTTTGATCATTTATCACAAGCTGAATATTATACAATCATCGACTTTAAATCAGGCTATTTTCAAGTTGGTCTGGACCCCCAAGATCGTCCGAAAACAGCTTTCTTAACCCGAGATCAGCATTATCAATTTACAGTGTTACCTCAAGGTGTTGCAAACGGTCCACCAGCATTTCAACGCATTGTTAGTCAAATACTTCGACCTACAAGATGGCAATATTCATTAGCTTATCTGAATGATGTTATAATATATTCACCAACATTCGATCAACATTTAACACATCTTGATGATATTCTCAACCGTTTAAATGATGCAAATTTTCGTCTTAATGTTAACAAATGTCAAATAGCAAAGACGTCGATTGATTATCTTGGTCATCACATTGAACGTAGTAATATTAGACCGAATGCAGACAATATTCGTGCATTATTGGAAACTCTACAGCCAACAACAGCAAGAGAAGCATTTCGATTCGTCAAAGCTGCTGAATATTACCGCAAATTTATACCTGTATTTTCGACAATTGCACAACCCTTACATAAATATGCACCTACTACAAAAGAACAACGATCACAAAAATCACAATCTACACCTATTATTTTATCCGATGAAGAACTTCATGCATTTAATGAATTGAAACAGATATTAACTAATGATTTAGTATTACGTATTCCCGACCAAAATTTACCATTTAAGATACAAACCGATGCATCAAAAATTGGAATTGGAGCTGTACTTATGCAAACTCACCCAAATGGGGATCTACCACTAGCTTATTTATCAAAGAAATTTACAACAACCCAAATGAATTGGCCTGCAACAGAACAAGAATGTTATGCTATTATGTATGCAATCGAAAAGTGGCATAAATATTTAGATGGACGTTCATTTACTATTGAAACAGATCATAAACCATTATTACCATTCAATTTAAAACAACAATTAAATTCGAAATGTGAACGATGGCGTTTAAAATTACAACAATATTAATTTACTATTCGATATATTAAAGGAAAACATAATACGTTAGCTGATTATTTATCCCGTTCACCAGTAGATAATGGAACAAATGATGAAGACGATTATACTCCAACACAATCTAGATCAACACAAACTGATAATTGTATGAAGACACAAATTATTGCACCTGTCATGACTCGTAGACAAGCAAGACAACAACCTAATGAGAGGACTGATCATCATTTATCAGATCAGACCTGTGATGAAAACCGACAAGCGAGGAATGTCGACATACCAATCGACCATTCCTGTATTCCAAAAGCCAACCAACTACCGACATCGATCTACAACACCGACTGTGATAAAATAATACCATTTACATTGGAACAATTAAAAGAATTACAATATCAAGATGATGAAATTAACAACATCATTCACAACATCAAGAACTACAAAGAATATTTTGTTAAAAATAATATGTTAATGAAAAAAGCATTTCCACCAGTACCAGTTATACCCAAGGGAGGAATACGTTCCGACATAATTAAAATTTATCACGATACACCTGCAAATGGTGCTCATTTCGGTCGAGATCGAACTATCCACAAAATTCAACAACGATATTATTGGCCTCATATGATTTCCGACATTCAAAATTATATAAAATCATGTCTGCCTTGTTTACAAAACAATCCTCTACGGCAGAAACCACCAGGTGCTTTGAAACCAATCAAACCCCCGGAAGGTGTATGGCAATTACTTACAATGGATTTTCACGGACCGATTACACCAACAACAAAACATGGTAATAAATATATTATTTTATTAACTGACGTATTATCAAAATTCGTAATTATGAAAGCAGTCCTTGATTGCACTGCTTCAACTGCCGCACAATTTTTGACAGAGGAAGTGATCCTTAAATATGGCACTCCGAAATGTATTCTTACAGACAATGGTACTCATTTTACAGCAACGATGATGACTGAATTATTTAAGAAAATTGGTATTACACATTTATATTCAACACCTTACCATCCAATGACTAATGGACAAATAGAAAGATTTAATGCAACAATGGATGCTAAAAAGGCAGCATTATCAAATGAAAAACGTACGAATTGGGATGAACAATTACCATTTGTTACATTCAATTACAACACCACTATCCACAAAACAACCGGACAAATTCCATTCGAATTAATATATGGTCGTTCGCCAATTTTACCTTTCGATCAACAACAACCATTAGTTACCTTATCACAAGATCCGGAATACGTGTCAAAATTAAACCAATATTTATTAACATTAACTGAACAAACAAAAGTTAAAATATTAGAACAACAACGGAAATATAAAGACCGTTATGATCGATATCGTACCGATCCAACTTATAAAGTCGATGATCTCGTCCTTATTAAAACATTAAACAAGCGAAACAAATTCGACATACGATATGAAGGACCTTTCAAGATTACACAACAAATTGGAAGAAAAACATTTATCGTACAACATATTAAGAAACATACATTAATACGACAAGTTACAATAGATGTCCTTATTCCCTTATATGAACGCAAATATATGGATTAGGTATAAGTTGGATTAGTAACGTGAACTAGATATAGTCACCTTGTAGTTATCGGTACCGGACGTATATACATCATCGCCTATCAGTCTTTGTCTTTCCTCTTCTCTTGTGATATACTTTCTTTTCTTCCTCACACTTCGTTTTATCATATACATCTTAAGACAACACTTTTATCTTTCCTTTCTGTTACGATTCACATTGTTTCTTCTTTTCCTTTCGTCTCGTCAGTATATATACATATATAAGCTCATTTCGGTGCAAATTGAATACATAAAAATGGAATGAAAATATGAATCTTACATAGATTCATGGAAGCAACAATCATTTTGAGAGGACTGTCCATGAGAGTCCTGTACGAATATATATATTTTTTTTTCAGATATTTCAGATTTATATTATTTCCCATTATTTGTCTACGTACCGTAAGATCTATCCATATACATCCAAAAAAAACTTTTTGTTGTTTTTCTTTATTATTTTCTTTGTCTGTTTTTCTTTATTTTTCTTGTTATTTACTAACACACAAAGATGAACTTTTCAAAAAAAAGTTCATGTTCAACACATTACAAACCTCATTATGTACCAGCATATGAACGATTATTACGACGAAATCAGTTATGGAAGCCTCAAAAGGTGAAACAAGAACAAGATTTACAAGAAGAATGTCGGACAGGAAAATTAACACCATTCCAACAGCCTAAAAATTATTTATGTTATTTTATACATGAACAAACTGATATTTTGAAAATTGATGAATTAATTGATCAAGCAAAATTAACAAATCATTTCTCAATCGATACTGAAGATGATGCATTAACACATAAACCGGCAACATTACGAGTCGAATTTATTCGTCAAACATTACCATCAATTGTTATTATTATTGAAGTTCAATATTTACCACCGGTTACAAATCCATTATTTAAAAAAATACAACAACTATGTACAATAATATTTACATCCAAAAATCATATTTATTCATGAGGTTCAGCATCACAAGAACTTAAAAAATTTAATTCATTTAATCTATTTAATACAAATATTAAAATTCAAGAATCTGATATACAAGCCGAATACAGTGGTGGTCAAAAAGCAGCATTACAAAAAATTATTAAATATAAATTTAAGGAATATTTAAACAAAACCGCTACATTAGGTGAATGGGCATGCGGCATTGATTTAGTATTAGGTACTTATTTACCATTAGATGTAGTTGGTCCCGAACGTACATACCGAATTAAAGAAGAGAAAAAATATCGATCAATATTAAAAGAATATGCAATAAATGATGTCTTTGCTGTTACTAAATTATCGTACAAATTAAATTTAATAAAATTTTTAGCAACTAATGATTATGAAGATATTTCTGAAGATGAAGATAATATTGATTTACAACAAGAATTATCAATTGATATACCATCAACATATGAAGAATTAATAGTTCATGTAACCGATGAACTAGAAGAAATTAATGAAGATAAATTATCATATCAACAACGTGAAGATCTTGAACCAACTCAACAAATAAGTATATTTAATCAAATCGAAAGTTTTAATACTATTTTAGGACCTCATGGAAATTTTTCAGACAATCAAATTTATGAATCACTTAATAGTAATACAATATATGTTGAACCAGATGTTATTGAATTTCAACCTGATGATGATATGGATACACAATCTATACCTGAAATTATGAAGCTTCATTTTCATCATGAACCAGGTCATCGACTTATACAACAACATCGTAATGAACAGTCATCACCTCAACAGATGACAGTTCATGTAAGAAATGAACCGAATTAGATAAGAAATTTCCATCATTTCGATACAACAACAACATTAACAAAAAAACAAATACGAAATCGAAAAACAAATCTTCGTCATCGTGCAAACCGTTATCGATTTAAAGTTATTCGACGAGTTTGTAATTTATTTAGGCCTAAACAAATTAAACGTATATTAAAATCAATGAATATTTATACTCTTAATGTCAATGTGATCCGACATGAATTATGTATTGGACTTAAAGATCAGGCAACAGTGGACAAAGTAGAACGATTATTACATGATCGGATGTTTACAAAACAATATTACCATCGTCTATACAAGTAATCGATTTATAAATATATTTCTTTTTTTTGTTGAACATGTGTGTGTTTTCGTTTTCTTCTATGAACGTTATTTCGTTTTCTTTTCTTTCGGTCTGTTGTTTCTCGTTTCCTTTTCCATCTTTTGTTATTTGTTTGTTATGTGTGCGGACACACATTTTTTTTGGGGTGTCGACTGTTAGAGGATAACCCTGGAAGTATATTCTATTTTTCTTTTTCGTTTCTCTTTTCTTCTTGTTAGCTATTTCTTTGATATGATATATCTCAGGTCATTATTTTTCTTTATTCTATTTTGTCCTTACGTTTTGAACCCTGGACATAGTCATATATATATATGTTTTTTTTTCTCTTTGAAGTTAGAGATATATATGTAGACAAGTGCAGAGTGTGTGGGGTAATATATATGTACGTGTGTGTGAGGACATTTTTGGGGATTTTGAAAATAAATAAAGGAAAAGGTCGAACATCAGACCTCTAATAGTTGTATTAAAAAAACCAAGTATACCATAAGATGCAGCGTGAAAAGCTCTACAGTTTATAAAGGATCATTTGTTTTATAGATGCCCTTTTTATTTTCAAAATCGACAAAACTCTGACCGACCAAATTTCGATGTTGCGAAAACAGGATAGTTTGTGTTTGTAAAAGATGAATTCGTTACTTCTCTGTTGCATCTTTTTATAATTGTTCTTTATAAATTGAAGAGATTTTTACACTGCATCTTATAGTGTATTTTGTTTTTTCTAATAAAGTAGATCAGGTAATAAAAAGATGAGATAACAAAAAAATGAATTCATCTTTTACAAACACAAACAATCCTGTTTTCGCAAACATCGAAATTTGTTCGGTCAGAGTTTTGTCGATTTTGAAAATAAAAAGGGCATCTATAAAATAAATGATCCTTTACAAACTGTAGAGCTTTTCACGCTGCATCTTATGGTATACTTGGTTTTTTTAATACAACCTATTAAGTGATAATAAAATGAAATGCAAAAGTGCACAATTTTTTTTATGCCACACCCATTATGATCCAAATGCTACCAGCCAGTTTGCAACAACCACCAATTCTTATCAAAATTTTATTATTACAAGATCAATTGAATAGTAGTCAAATAGCATAGAAAGATAGAGCAAAAGACGCTCTATCTGTTCACAAAAAAAGAAAGTTTTTCCAAGCGATCTATACGGAAATACGATATCAGGCTCACTACTTTTGGTATGCCCTAAGTATAAGAATTGAAATTAATTTTCGAACATCTATTAAAATTCTTAATAATTTTCCGATTCGTTTGAAAATAATTTTTCATGGCATCAGATTGAAATTCTACTTTATGGAAGGTCAAGCATTTGTCAGAACTTATAAGATCGTTCAACGATCAATAATAATTTGAAAACGTTTGAGCTTTCGCCAAACTCGATTTTCTAAAAAGTAAACTTCATTATAAATTTATAGTGTAT